CCCCAAAACCCCAAAACCCCAAAACCCCAAAACCCCAAAACCCCAATGTGTCGACACGAAATTGAATTATATTCCAAATAAACAACTCTCGAACTGGCTCGTTAATAAATTTGCAAAAAAATTGGAATTTGAAATCCCTGCTAGAAACTAATTACTGCACCTTAGAGGGATATAGCATCTTGTAAGGAAGAGAGTCTGGTGTTATGCCATTGATAGAAATATAACTACCCCCACCAATAGTACCGGTTAGGTATGAGATGGGCCATTCCACCGGAAGGGTTGGTGGACCTTCCCAAATTCCAAGAAATTGAGATTGGAATTTTAGAAATAAAATTCAAAATTGTTATGCTTAATTTAGATGAGTAATTTCAAAATTATCTGTTAATTCAGTGAAATTTTAGAACAGAATAGCCAGAAAAAAACAAATGGGAGAAAATAAGTCCAAGAGTGGTTATAGAAAGCTTAAGTTACTTTACTTCTTTTAGCTAGAGGTTTGTATATACGATTAGCTAAAAGAAGCTTTTTACACCTGTTAAGATGTAAATAGATTTTTACAGGAAACACTAAGGCATCTGTTGACTTTGTACACCAGCCTCACTGTTATTTAACCTAAAAATAGTTGGAATATTACCGAATCATAGATTTCTGATTAACCTGGGCTCTTCTCATATGACCTTCTATAATTTTCTTCTGGTTCCTTGCTGAGATATCCTCCCTGCCTTCTTGTTGTTTCCTATTATTCGGATAAACCGTTGAAGAATTGTCATTATCCATATAAACTTGCTGTCTTGCTTCTTGGTCTATGAATCATAATTGGGATTAATACAAAATTTTCTTAAATTTCTGACTTTAAATAAGTTTTACATATAATTGTCAGTCGTGATGCCCTCACCAGAAAATAGGGGTTCGAGCACGTGCATACTTATAACAAATTTAACTTTTAAAATTAGAAGCCGCAAACTATTGACTAAATGAAGCAGCCTACCTTGCTCAGGTATCCTCCTCTGGTCACAATTTCTGTATGGTTAGGAAAAGCCTTACCTTATATATTTCATCACAGAAAATGATATTAAACCAATTGCAACGATAGAGACAAATAGAGCGACTAGTATAATCCACAATGTAGTAGTTTCAACAGAGCTACAGTTAATGGAAGGAGATACCTGATAACTTCGGTACCTTTTGTGGTAAATGAAACTTGCGAGCTATCTGAAGATAGTGGAACTACAAGGATATACGCAGTTGCTATATATCCTATCCAAATTTCTTCTTCCTCACCCTCATAAATCTCTCCTTCAAGAGTGTAGTTACCAACCTCAGTGGATCGATACACCTCAAGGTAACAGTTGTTCGCAGTGTCTATAAATTTATTCAATGAGAATTAATCTGAGAAATTTAGGAATCTCAAAGCGAAAGTGTCACGACACTTAAGGAAATTCCGAAGGTTAGGAATTTGATGATGAGCCATTGATGTCTGATAATAAGAATTTTATAGAAATCCTGGAATTCTGATATAATAATTATAATTTCACAGCAAGTATGTAGGGAAATACCTAAAGTTCTTCAGAACATAATTGCTATTAAGCACGTCACAAATTAAAGGAAATTTCAAATTAACACGACTACCAAGGCCAGAATCATTAATTTCATTTACGTAAGTTAACCTGGAGAGTATTCACTTTATTGAAAGGAATCTCAATTTTGTACCATCATACTGTCGAGTTTGGGATTTCATTAGAGGTGAAATAGCCCTCCTGGTCTAACCCAGAAATATTTTGAAGCTGGCTGCCACATGCTGCTGTATCAGTTGGGCAAAGAAATGACCTAGCATTTGATGAAAACTCTGAAGAAAAGGCTTCATCAGCCGTGGAATTGGCAATATTTGAAGAGCAGAGGTAAAAGCCAGTCCCTTCACATAATTCACTTTCATCATCATTTTCACATCACCGTGAATTGTCAAAATCAACTCTTTGGGTTCACCACTTATTTATTCTGCGCTGATAAACATGATTTTCATTGTGTTGCTGTAAGTTGTCTCCGACATTGTCAGATTCCAATAAATATAAGAATTCAGACCAATATTGTACTTAGTTTAGGCCGTTGGATTGCTCCAAAGAAGTTAACACCCTTTATTATTTTAGGAAAGTCCATTATTTTTCAATTATTAAAATTTTATCTGGGGTTTTGGGGTTTTGGGGTTTTGGGGTTTTGGGGTTTTGGGGTTTTGGGG